GAGGACAGGCTGGGAGAGGTGGGGGGGGTCAGCCTGGAGAAGAGAAGGCGAAAAAGGGGAGACCTCAGAGCCTCTTTTAGTACTTAAAGGGGGCTTTTAAGAAAGATGGCAACAAACTTTTTACCAGGCCCTGTTGTGACAGGACAGGGGGGAATGGCTTTAAACTAAAAGAGGGGAGATCCAGACTAGATATAAGGAAGAAATTCTTGACTGTGAGGGTGGTGAGACGCTGGCCCAGGTTGCTCAGAGAGATGGGAGATGCCCCATGCCTGGAAACATTCCAGGCCAGGTTATTTGAGCTTTGTGCAACCTGATCTAGTTGAAAATGTCCCTGCATAGGGCAGGGGGATTGGACTAGGTGGCCTTTAAAGGTCCCTTCCAACCCAAACCATTCCGTGATTCTGTGAGTTGTTGTGAATATCGTGACAGATACTTCCTGCGGCTCAACAGGCTTTGATGTGGCTGTGACGCCCTCTCAGATTTCTTGAAGAACCGTTATTTTAAGCTCGGAGATTTCACATGGCCGAAGAGGGTTCCTGATTTCTAGTTTCTCACTTCTGGAGTGTCTGTCCTGCGCTGGCTGTTCCTGTCTCGGGGCTCCCCTGCTCTATTTAGCTGCTGTGCTGAGCCCTGGGCTCTGCTTTTGCTCCCTCCTTGCCGTGATGTGCAGTGTGGGCCACAGATGTGGCTGATTCGTCGCGTGCCTTGTGATAAATTGCCTCTTTTGATCAGCGCTGGCAGCGCAAATGTGGTCTCATCTGTCCCATCATGAGAACATGGCGGGGATTTACTTTTCTGGTGGTGTAGCCAACTATGACTTGTACCCGTTGGAGCGCACGGGCCAGCTAATGAGCCTCGTTTGATCTCTTCCTAACCCTCTCCCCGATCCCCGGGCACAGGGGCTTCTCTTCTGGCCATCTGGAGACAACATGACCCTGCTACTCCCCGGGGTGTCTCTGAGGTCTCACATATGCCCTGCAGCCCGCGAGGTACTGAAACAAAGGCGCTGAGCTTGATGTTTTCCCTTTTCAGCAATTGGTTTCTGTGGAAAAGTTGCCCAAATACGCCCAGGCTGGATTCGAGGGATTTAAAACGCTGAACCGTATTCAGAGCAAACTCTACCGCGCAGCACTGGAGTCGGATGAGAACTTGCTGCTGTGTGCTCCCACGGTAAGGATCCCGATATTTGGGGCCTCTGTGATGGAGAATCCAGCAGGATGATCTGTTTGGGTGGAAAAGGCTGACCTTTACCCTGGAGAAGACAAGAATTTGATGGGACCGGTTCTGTTTGTGTTCTAGGGCGCTGGGAAGACAAACGTGGCGCTCATGTGCATGTTGCGAGAAATAGGGAAACACATTAATATCGATGGAACCATCAACGTGGACGATTTCAAGATTATCTACATCGCGCCCATGAGGTCCTTGGTGCAGGAGATGGTGGGCAGCTTCGGGAAGGTAAGGAGAGGTTTGGTCCTGTCCCTGCTTGAACTGTAGGTTGGGGAAGATGGCCCAGAAGGCCAACTGTATCCTGGGCTGCATCAGAAGAAGTGTGGCCGGCAGGGCGAGGGGGGGATTCTGCCTCTTTACTCTGCTCTGGGGAGACCCCACCTGGAGTACTGCCTCCAGCTCTGGAGTCCCCAACATAGGAAAGCCACGGAGCTGTCGGAGCGGGGCCAGAGGAGGCCCCAGAGATGCTGGGAGGGCTGGAGCCCCTCTGCTGGGAGGACAGGCTGGGAGAGGTGGGGGGGTTCAGCCTGGAGAAGAGAAGGCCAAAAAGGGGAGAGCTCAGAGCCCCTTCCAGTGCCTAAAGGGGCTCCAGGAGAGCTGGGGGGGGACTCTGGAGCGGGGGGGGGAGCCATGGGACGAGGGGGAATGGTTTGACACTGAAAGAGGGGAGATTTGGATGAGATAATGAGGAAGAAATTCTTTGCTGTGCGGGTGGTGATCCCCTGGGGCAGGTTGCCCCGAGAAGCTGTGGCTGCCCCATCCCTGGAGGTGTTCAAGGCCAGGTTGGACGGGGCTTGGAGCAACCTGGGCTGGGGGGAGGTGGCCCTGCCCAGGGCAGGGGGTGGCACTGGGTGGTCTTCAAGCTCCCTTCCAACCCAAACCATTCTATGATTCTAAGATGAGCTTTTATTGTGGTGGCTTCCTTATATCATGCTTACAGAAGGATATAAGCTCTGGCCAAAGCTTGTCTGGAGAGGTTGTGTTTGGGTTGTCCCTTGAATCTCTGTTTGTGTAGTCTGCACCCACTGGGCTCTGAGCGTGTGCCGATGCGGGCTTTGGATGTCTGTAGGCTATGAAATCCACACGTTTCTTCCGCTGCTGTGGTGGGACAAGTATGAAAATATCTGCGAGCGTCTTGGGGCTTGCGGTGCACTAACGCTGCCCTGGGAAACGTGCGTTTGCCCAGCTTAACTGCCTGTGGACTTCCTCCTAGCGCCTGGCGACTTACGGCATCAACGTGGCTGAGCTGACGGGGGATCACCAGCTGTGCAAGGAGGAAATCAGCGCTACCCAGATCATCGTCTGCACCCCGGAGAAGTGGGACATCATCACCCGCAAGGGAGGAGAACGCACCTATACCCAGTTGGTGCGACTGGTCATCCTGGTGAGCAGCGCCAGTGCCTGCAAAGCCCCGGCACGGAGGAGAGGGGGCGATGACGGGCGCTGTGTCTTTTGGCATTGCACTTCCCGAACGTGCGTTAGCGGTTGAAGATGTCTCTGGCGCTTGGTTGCGGAGAGGCTTGGGCTTTGAGCTGTGGGATGTGTGCGCCTCAATCCGCGCAAGCAGGGCTGCTAAGAAACTAAACCAAAAATGGATAAATGGAGCCGGTTTGGAGCAGGGATAACTCTGTTTCCTCTCTTTAGGATGAGATACACCTGCTGCATGATGACCGAGGACCCGTCCTGGAGTCTTTGGTAGCCAGAGCCATCCGCAACATCGAGATGACTCAGGAGGACGTGAGGCTCGTTGGTTTGAGTGCCACCCTCCCCAACTATGAGGACGTGGCTACCTTCCTGAGAGTGGACCCGGCCAAAGGCTTGTTCTATTTTGATAACAGGTACCGTGGAAAGCCGGGAGAGATCTTTACGGTCAGATGGTGGGTAGCTGTTGAGAGCTGGGAAAGACCTGCCTCCTGTGGAGCCAGTTGAGTGTTTATCTGTCGGATGGTGCCAGGGTCTCACCGGGCCTTCAGCTTACTCTCAACGTGCATTTATTTGCTCGTAGATGTGCCGGTAAATGCATGTTCAAGACTAGAGCAGTTAAATACAGCTTCAAAACGTGTGCCAGGGTTCCTGCGTTGTCGTACTTGCAAGAAGATGCATTAAAGAAGGCAGATAAACTCTGCTGTACCTGCGTGCTGCAGAAGCTGAAGGAAGCCTAAAATAGGATCATGGTGGCTCCTGAAACACCATTTTTGCTCCCTGAGGGTGTGTGTAGCAAACGCATTCCAGGAAACAGGAATACGTGTTACTGTGCTCTCCTGTTTAAGCTTACTGGGCAGAACTGGCACCATCAAATCTCTGAGTAAACTGAGGCACAAAGGAAGCGTGTCGAACTTGGTAGCATGAAATACGGGATGCCTTTTGACAGGACCTTTGTTTCTTCATTCTTTTGCTCTTTTATGGACTTGTTTTTTTCCCTTACAGCTTCCGACCGGTGCCCCTCGAGCAGACCTATGTGGGTATTACAGAGAAGAAAGCAATCAAACGCTTCCAGATAATGAATGAAATTGTTTATGAGAAGATTATGGAGCATGCTGGAAAGAACCAGGTTTGACACTTTATTTTATTGTTCCACTTTATTTGATTGGTCCTTAATCCTGGTGCTTCTCTGTTGCTGGTGAGGATTTCTGTGTTGCCGTCGCTGCAGAAATGCTGCAGGGCAGAAGAGGGTAGGTTTGGGTGGTCCATGGAAGCTGAGAGAGGAAGGAACACGGGTTTTCTCTCTCTGCGGGCTGTCTTGATTAACATATGACCGGTCTTTTTAGGATGAGGGAGTCTTGGTGATGCTACCCCGTTAGATCAGGAGCTCTGTGCATGGTTCACAGGGCACCTGGACTAATTCTAGGTCTCTTCCCACCCTGAACACCAGGAGCGGGTTGGGGCAAACATCTTTGCTGGCCGCAGCCGTAGCGATTCCTCTCTCAGCGATGGTAACAGTGTGCTTGTTTAACAGGTGCTGGTGTTCGTTCACTCCAGAAAGGAGACCGGGAAGACTGCCCGGGCCATCAGGGACATGTGCCTGGAGAAAGATACTCTGGGCCTCTTCTTGCGGGAGGGCTCAGCCTCCACCGAGGTCCTGAGGACCGAAGCGGAGCAGTGCAAGGTAATTACCCGGACAGGGTTGTTCTGACACAGCGACAGCAGGAGCGCAGCTACAGAGATGCTGCCGGTTTGGTGCAGTTTCACAGCCTTTCCTCTAGGATATGGGCTACCTTCTGTTGCTTCTTTTCTCCCTGGTGTTACTTGGCTCAGGTAGAAAACCTAGAGCTGGTTGTGTTTCTGCTGCAGAACCTGGAGCTGAAGGACCTCCTTCCTTACGGCTTTGCCATTCACCACGCTGGGATGACGCGCGTGGACCGGACGCTGGTGGAGGATCTGTTTGCTGACAAACACATTCAGGTGAGCCTCGCTTC